TGTATTGATACAAAAACCTATTTTTTGATTTTTTTTTTTGAAAAAATTTATTATATATATATATATATATATATTTATTTTTAAAAAAAAATTCCATTTTTCCTCTATAAATACATCAATCCCTACTATTATTCACCTCATATCCAAATTCGATCATGCAACAACTCTTTATCAAAGACAATCTGAAACTTTTGAGGCCGCTCAAATAACACGAGAGGCATGCAAAATAGATAACGAAAAAACCAGATAACTGGAGCTTCAAAACAAACCAAGAGAGATTGAAAACAAACAAAGAGTTGAAGAGATGTTAATCATGCAAAAAGATCCAGAATCGATGCCAACACAAGCCAGGAAAGCATGGCTAATTGAACGCCAAAATGAAATATTGGCATCTATACGCGCACGTGGCAACTCAAGCTTTCCATACAATTATCTCAAGCATTCCATATGATTGTTCTGTTTTTTTTTTAATTGTTTTATGTTTTTAATTCAAGTCGTATTATATTGTTTTGTATTTTTATTATATTGTTTAAATTTATATCGTATCGTATTGTTTTTAATAATAAATATTCTATTGTTAATTTTTTTTTTTTATGATATAGCCGTTTTAAAAATATAGCCGTTAGGAAAAAGTTAAAAAATAAAATTTATTAAAAATTTTAAAAATATTAAAATTTTTGGAGAGCGAAAATGCACCATTGGAGTACATCCGATAACTAAAAGATTCAAAAATGCTGACGTGACTATGAAAAATGCTGACGTGGTTATGAGAAAATGCTGATGTGGCAAATTCGAAAAGTCTGAATTTATAAAGTCCATTGGAGATGCCTAAGAACAACATAAAACAGAATAAAATAACAACTGAAATTGTCAGTCATGTCAATTTTCAATAGAAACTCTATCAATAGAAACAAAAAGAAAAAGAAAAAGAAAAATAAGAAATTGAAATGGAGAATTTTTGTTTTAGATAAGTGAAAATCTGATATGTGAATAGCAAGGGAGATAGAGAGGCGTTTTGAGTTCTACTAGTACTATATATGTGAGATCTATATATAGAATAGCAAGGGAGATAGAGAGGCGTTTTGAGTTCTACTAGTACTATATATGTGAGATCTATATTTTGATTATATATATATAGTGGATATATATATATAGTGGATATTACTATTTAAACCTCAACATTGTTATTTATATGCTGTGAAATTATAAATAGCAAGGGGTATAATGGTAAAATTATTTTTCCAATTAAAAATTAAACAGTTGTTAACTCTGATAGAGGTGTCAGAACAATTTCAAATGTTCTCCAACGCAAGGCCTTTCAATCCGCCATCATCATTGTCATTATCATCACCACCCACGGCCTTCACCATAACAACTACTACATCAACAAGCTCGCTCTGATGGTCTAAATGTGAAGAATTGGGTGATGCCATGAAGGTGTTTGATGAAATTTCTAACTTAGATGTTCAGTGTTGTGTTCTAATAAAATGGGGGTAACTTCGATTTGGTTAGGCTTCAGAGGCTGTTGAATGCTTTTGGCGATATGTTGCTGTATTACTCGTGTTTATGGGGACAACATTTGATGTTGGTATTGTATCCTTGGAGGTTTGTATTTCCCAAAAAGGAATGCATATTTCCCAAAAAGGAATGCATTAGTGCAATAATTGAGGGTATGCAAGTTAAGGAGGAAGGAGGAATTTATTGTTTGGAGAATTGGGACTCTGGTTTTTGGTCTATAAGGCTCTTTAAAGCACCTTAGAATTCACTACTGCGCACATGCAACCCTCCATCACAAATGAAGGGGGCAATTACACAAAAATTCTCCCGGATTACGTAAATTGGGACAGGCAATTTAAGCAAGCCGCGAAGAATCATGGAGAACACCAAGAAGTCGCGGGGAGAATTTACCGGCGGATTGATTATTATTAAGTTTTTCACATAGGAGGTATCCTAATTGACAAACGAATTGTCTTCATGATGAATATGTTTTCTAGTTTTTATTTTCATATGGTAATAATTTCCCTAATTTTAGAGTCTGTTTTAGAAAGTTTCTATTTTTTAATTTTCTTATAGTTTAGGGTTTTCATTATTTTACTTTCCTAATAGTGTAGGGTTTGCTTAAGCTTATAAATACCTGTTATCCTAATAATTCAGGAATTAACCCAGACCTTCTCTCATCGGTCAAAAAAAGTCATGAATCGTAACAGTTTTTCACAAGAATTTTTTTTTTATATAGACATAATGAGGGCCAACCTGATCATGTGAATCGGCCACGTGCTAATATTCAACACCAGTTTCAACAGGAGGTTTGGTCTGATTCAAGTTATAACAATATTGAAGGTACCCTCTCTACATAAAACTGCTATTGTAATTTTTTTTTTTTTTTTGTTTTTTTGTCCATTTTCTATGCAATTCTAATAAATAGATTCCACCAAGAACATAGTATCTCTCATCAAGTGTTTATCTAGTAGGGAGTTGATTTTATAGTCATACTCTTTTTCATTATTTATGGGTCTTATGCACAGTTGAGACTTGTTCTGTTCCACCCCTGCACACCATATTGTGTTTGTTCGAGAATCGAAGATGGGTATGTTTAGTAATTATTTCTTAAAAATTTTCTACACTCTCTCCATCTCTCTCTGTCTCTAGGCTTATGTATGACAAATATTGTTGATGTCTAATGTTATTTAATCAACTTTCTTCTTCAATAATTTAGGTTTTATTATTTAATCAATGTGCTCACTTGAATTTTAGATTAGATCTCATTAAGGCCTGGATGTTGGAGGTGCATTGTAGTTGAAAGTGAAAGCTAGTGATTGGTAGCATGAACTCTTAATACTCTTATTGCAGACTTGTCGTATACCATGGCATATGAGATCTATCATATATAACAGGCACCATCTGTGTCTGTCTCATACTTAGTTCAACAATAACTTGTTTATTCTATACTTGAAGATGTCAAAAAAGACTAAAAACATTGTTCAAAAGCACACGGAATAATCTATCTTATTTAGAAGTTTCAAAAACTAGAGGGAAAAAGAAAAAAAGAAAGAAAAGGAAGTAACAAAGAAGAACTTCCAACCTCACGATTCCAATTTGGTGCACAAGACCATTTAATTATAAATATATATAGATAAATTGTTTATTTATTTGTTCATTTTATCTATTTTTCATATCTTTAACTATAAAAGAACAAATATTATAATCATAATCCTTAGCATTTGTATACATTTACAATTTTTTTATTATTATTTAAATTCAAGCCCTCTATGGGAAATTGCAAGTTGAATTATACTGTTAGAGCCTTTATAAATTCTTCTTCGCATCTCACTCTGTACAAGTAAGACTATTTTCTATCTCTCACCCGTAGCTCAATTACTCGATTATTATGACAATCGTTTTGAGATAAGAGGAGAGAGACACTCAATTATTATGAAAATTATTTTGAGATAGGAGGAGAGAGACACTGAGTAATGTGCGATTCTAATAAATAGAGTTCAACAAGAATTCTTTGTGAGTAAAACGATAAACACAATTGTTGGTTTTATAGTCATACTCTTTTTATTATATATGGTTCTTATGATAGTTTGAGAGTTTTGTTCCAAACCATCCAGCTTTTGTGCATGGTAGTGAAACTATTTATTTCTTTACAGTTGGGATCACGTTATACAAACTATTTCATAAAATATGTTTTGGCATTTGCAGGTTCGTCTAGTAAAAGCGCTCTTGAAGATAGTGTTTTGCAATCTGCTCAACAGATTGGTCAGTTGATTACTATGGACAGCCGTGAAGCCCAGAGAATGGTTGAAATTCAGATGGAACCCCAGTTGGCTAATCCTGTGGACACCCCTTATGCTCCAGTTAATCTTGAATCTCTTTCGTCAATCGATTTACTCCAGAAAATCATGAAAGCACCTTCATTTGAGATGCTGGAAAATGGCCAGTGGATTTCTATGGACACCAATCAAATCAAGAGAATGGTTGAAAATCAGTTGAAATGGCAGTTGGATAATCATGTGAACACCCCTGATGCTCTTCCATCAACGCCTATGCTGTCCTCAGATGATCAGAAAGGGCCATTATCAGATGATGCTGAGAAGAATATTAAGATATTGACGAAGACAAAAAAGAAGAAAGGTCACAGAGAACTGATTCAACTGAAGGACAAAATTGTATAAATCTTGTTGGTTCTATTTATATTACCAAAGTGGTAGTTGCTATACATAAAGGTAGTTTAATGGTTTTGATTGTATTTGCAGGCTACTGGTATTAGGAAACGGCATGTTCTAAAGGAGGAGGATGGAGAACTAGTGTAAGTTTTCGTTTTTACTTGTTTAACCCTTTATTTCAAAATCATAGTTTTTGGAGCCTCCTCTGGGTTCTAGGATCAATGCTGATTCTTATTGGATTGTTCTTCACAATATATAAGTTGGGCTCTTTTAAGCTGAAAACCAACTTTTGCGATCCTTCATAATCCGAAGTGAACCCCACCTTCAACTGCTTGTTAATGTTTAATGCTTCAACAATCCATCCCTGCAATAAAGTAATAAGAAATAGACGTTTTTCAGACTAATTGCCCACAAATAGAACTCAAACCACTAACCTCCTCTTTAAGGGAAGAGAGGTTATACTTTTGGGCTAATGACTCATTGGTTGGAAGAGAGATGTTGAAAATAAAAAAATGATGTTAATTTGCTTGTATGTGCTTAGGAGAACATCCCATGGGGTGAGGACACACCTCTAGGCAAGATGAGAAGCAAAACATCTGCATCACCATGACACCCTCCAATGGTATATTGGCATGTCACACACACACACACATATCCTTTATGTAAATTGTTCATTCATGCATGCCCTGAATATAAAGTATCTATGTATGAATGGAGTTGAGACTCTTATGGGTAGAAAAATCACATATTTACTAAATTACTCTTAATGTATATTGTTCATTCATTCAGCCTTATCGAGTTAATATTATTTTGACTTTTGTCTTCCTCCAGTCACTTCCCTGTTGCCTGTGATGGTGATCATCCAAATGCTGACAATGATATTTCTGCAAATGCCGATATATTGAGACAATCGGAGGAACTTGGGCATAGAACTGAGCTTGAAGCACAGGAAGGAAAGGTTGAAAAAAATTTACAGTATCAAAGAGGAGTTGAAAATGAGGCTAAACAAAAGCAGCTTGCCAAGCAGGATGAGAATACAGGTTGAGTTCTAGATTAGACTTTATTAATGGCCTGGATGTTGCAGGTGCATTGTTGTTGAAAGTCAAAGCTAGTGACTGGTAGCATGAACTCTTAATACTCTTTGCACCTGCATAGTTTTCATTGTAGACTTTTAGTATACTGTGGCATATGAGATCTATCGTATATAACACACACATATATGGGTCTCTTCTTTTTAAAGCCTTCAACTTTGCTATTAGTCTGGGTGGTGGTTGTTGAATATAAGTTACACAGAGAGTGAGTAGAGAGAGTGTGGTAGTTGGTAGTGGCCGGTGGCATTGGTGGTGGAGAGGGAGGGAGAAGATGCAACACTTCATATATATATATATTTATATATTGTATATATATAGTATAATATAATTATACTATACTCATATCATATATATATATATATATATATATATATATATAATATAATTGTTTACCCTCCTTCAAATTTTACTTATCAAAAAAATATATATATAATATAATTGTAAGTTTGTTAAGTATTTAGGGTATTTTAGTTTTTTTATTTAATTCTTTAGGTTAGAGAGCTCTTTTGACAAAGTCAAAGGTTATTTAAGTCATCTTAAGAGATCTGACACATGTGAGGTGACGATTAGGGTGTGAGTGAAAGACAGAACAAACGTTTGCATTGTGAGTGATAGTAATTTTCAAAAATTATTTCAAAGTGATATTTGGCCAAACCTGGGGGGTGTCTGTGAAATTAACCCTATATTGTAATGAGCCATCTTGATGTAATTTCTCCCTCTTACCTACTCCTATACTCTCTTTGTACTTCCTTCTAATTAAATACACTCTATTTATTTGTTTATTTCGTTATCATTGATGTGATAAATTTAAAGATTAAAAAAAAAAGTTTATTCTTATTAATAACGTGGTTGTTCAACACTTTTGTATCCGACTAATCAATTTTTATTTTTATTTTTATTTTTATTTTTTGTCCTTTTTGGATGCAATTTTAATAAATAAAGTCCAGCAAGAATACAATATCTTTCATCAAGTGTTTTATCTGTTAGAGAGTTGATTTTATAGTCATACTCTTTTTCATTATTTAAGGTTCTCAGCACAATTGAGACTTGTTCTGTTCCACACCTTATTGAGTTTGTTTGTGATTTGATGATGGGTATGTTTAGTAATTATTTCTTAAAAATTTTCTACACTCTCTTCTCTCTCTCTCTCTCTCTCTAGGCTTATATATAGCAATTATTGTTGATGTCTAATTCGAAGATGGGTATGTTTGGTAATTATTTCTTAAAAAATTTCTACACTCTCTCCATCTCTCTCTGTGTCCCTAGGCTTATATATGACAAATATTGTTGATGTCTAATGTTATTTAATCAACTTTCTTCTTCAATAATTTATGTTTTATTATTTAATCAATGTGCTCACTTGAATTTTAGATTAGATCTCATTAGAGGCCTGGATGTTGGAGGTGCATTGTTGTTGAAACTGAAAACTGGTGATAACTCTTAATACTCTTTCAATCTGCTTAGTTTGCATTGTAGACTTGTTGTATACTACGGCATATGAGATCTATCATATATAACAGGCACCATCTATGTATGTCTCATACTTAGTTCAACAATAACTATGGGAAATTAAAAGTTGAATTATACTGTTAAGAGGCTTTACAAGTTCTTCTTCGCATCTCACTCTGTACAAGACAGACTATTTTCTCTCTCTCACCCGTAGCTCAATTACTCGATTATTATGACAATCATTTTGAGATAAGAGGAGAGAGACGCTATTTTTATTAAGAGTAATGTGCGATTCTAATAAATAGGGTTCAACAAGAACTCTTATCCTTTCTTCACTTGGACTTTTTCCGCTCTTGCTTCGAATTTCACCTTCGTCGTCTCGCAGATTTGAGTAAAGGATAAACACAATTGTTGGTTTTATAGTCATACTCTTTTTATTATATATGGTTCTTATGATAGTTTGAGAGTTTTGTTTCAAACCATCCAGCTTTTGTGCATGGCAGTGAAACTATTTATTTATTTACAGTTGGGATCACGTTATACAAACTGTTTCAGAAAATATGTTTTGGCATTTGCAGGTTCGTCTAGTAAAAGAGCTTTCGAAGATAGTGTTTTGCAATCTGCTCAACAGATTGGTCAGTTGATTACTATGGACAGCCGTGAAGCCCAGAGAATGGTTGAAAGTCAGATGGAACCCCAGTTGGCTGATCCTGCGGACACCCCTTATGCTCCAGTTAATCTTGAATCTCTTCCATCAATCGATGAACTCCAGAAAATCATGAAAGCACCTTCATTTGAGATGCTGGTAAATGGCCAGTGGATTTCTACGGACACCAATCAAATCAAGAGAATGGTTGAAAATCAGTTGAAATGGCAGTTGGATAATCAAGTGAACACCCCTGATGCTCTTCCATCAACGCCTATGTTATCAACGAAGACAAAAAAGAAGAAAGGTCACAGAGAACTGAAGGACAAAAATGTATAAATCTTGTTGGTTCTATTTATTTTACCAAAGTGGTAGTTGCTATACATAAAGGTAGTTTAATGCTTTTGATTGTTTTTGCAGGCTACTGGTATTAGGAAACGGCATGTTCTAAAGGAGGAGGATGGAGAACTAGTGTAAGTTTTCGTTTTTACTTGTTTAATCCTTTATTTCAAAATCATAGTTTTTGGAGCCTCCTCTGGGTTCTAGGTTCAATGCTGATTCTTATTGGATTGTTCTTCACAATATATAAGTTGGGCTCTTTTAAGCTGAAAACCAACTTTTGCTATCCTTCATAATCCGAAGTGAACCCCACCTTCAACTGCTTGTTAATGTTTAATGCTTCAACAATCCATCCCTGCAATAAAGTAATAAGAAATAGATGTTTTTCAGACAAATTGCCTTCTATAGAACTCAAACCACTAACCTCCTCTTTAAGGGAAGAGAGGTTATACTTTTGGGCTGATGACTCATTGGTTGGAAGAGAGATGTTGAAGATAAAAAAATGATGTTAATTTGCTTGTATGTGCTTAGTAGAACATCCCATGGGGTGAGGACACACCTTTAGGCAAGATGAGAAGCAAAGCATCTCCATCACCATGACACCCTCCATTGGTATATTGGCATGTCACACACACACACACATATCCTTTATGTAAATTGTTCATTCATGCATGCCCTGAATATAAAGTTATCTATGTATGAATGGAGTTGAGACTCTTATGGGTAGAAAAATCACATATTTACTAAATTACACTTAATGTAAATTGTTCATTCATTCAGCCTTATTGAGTTAATATTATTTTGACTTTTGTCTTCCTCCAGTCACTTCCCTGTTACCTGTGATGGTGATCATCCAAATGCTGACAATGATATTTCTGCAAATGCCGATATATCGAGACAATCGGAGGAACTTGGGCATAGAACTGAGCTTGAAGCACAGGAAGGAAAGGTTGAAAAAAATTTACAGTATCAAAGAGGAGTTGAAAATGAGGCTAAACAAAAGCAGCTTGCCAAGCAGGATGAGAATACAGGTTGAGTTCTAGATTAGACCTTATTAATGGCCTGGATGTTGCAGGTGCATTGTTGTTGAAAGTCAAAGCTAGTGACTGGTAGCATGAACTTTTAATACTATTTGCACCTGCGTAGTTTTCATTGTAGACTTTTAGTATACTGTGGCATATGAGATTTATCATATATAACGCACACGTATATGGGTCTCTTCTTTTTAAAGACTTTAACTTTGCTATTAGTCTAGGTGGTGGTTGTTGAATTATAAGTTACACAGAGAGTGAGTAGAGAGAGTGTGGTAGTTGAATATATATATAATATAATTGTAAGTTTGTAAAGTATTTAGGGTATTTTAGTTTTTTTTTTTTAATTTAATTCTTTAGGTTAGAGAACTCTTTTGATAAAGTCAAAGGTTATTTAAGTCATTTTAAGAGATCTGACACGTGAGGTGACGATTAGGGTGTGAGTGAAAGACGGAACAAACATTTGCATTGTGAGTGATAGTAATTTTCAAATTTTATTTCAATGTGATATTTGGCCAAACCTGGGGGGTGTCAGTGAAATTAATCCTTTATTGTAATGAGCCATGTTGATGTAATTTCTCCCTCTTACCTACTCCTATACTCTCTTTGTACTTCCTTCTAATTAAATACACTCTATTTATTTGTTTATTTCGTTATCATTGTGTGATAAATTTAAAGAAAAAAAAAAGTTTATTCTTATTAATAACGTGGTTGTTCAACACTTTTGTATCCGACTAATCAAATTTTTTTTTTTTTTTTTTGTCCTTTTTGGATGCAATTTTAATAAATAGAGTCCAAAAAGAATATAATATCTCTCATCAAGTGTTTTATCTATTAGAGAGTTGATTTTATAGTCATACTCTTTTTCATTATTTATGGTTCTCAGCACAGTTGAGACTTGTTCTGTTCCACACCTTATTGTGTTTGTTCGCGATTTGAAGATGGGTATGTTTAGTAATTATTTCTTAAAAAATTTCTACATTCTTTTCTCTCTGTCTCTGTCTCTAGGCTTATATATAACAAATATTGTTGATGTCTAATTCTAAGATGGGTATGTTTAGTAATTATTTCTTAAAAGTTTTCTACACTCTCTCCATCTCTCTCTCTGTCTCTAGGCTTATATATGACAAATATTGTTGATGTCTAATGTTATTTAATCAACTTTCTTCTTCAATAATTTATGTTTTATTATTTAATCAATATGCTCACTTGAATTTTAGATTACATCTCATTAGAGGCCTGGATGTTGGAGGTGCATTGTTGTACTCTTTCAATCTGCTTAGTTTGCATTGTAGACTTGTCGTATACTACGGCATATGAGATCTATCACATATAACAGGCCCCATCTGTGTATGTCTCATACTTAGTTCAACAATAACTATAGGAAATTGCAAGTGGAATTATACTGTTAAGAGGCTTTATAAGTTCTTCTTCGCATCTCACTCTGTACAAGTAAGACTAGTTTCTATCTCTCACCCGTAGCTCAATTACTCTATTATTATGACAATCATTTTGAGATAAGAGGAGAGAGACGCTATTTTTATTCAGAGTAATGTGCGATTCTAATAAATAGAGTTCAACAAGAACTCTTTTTGAGTAAAGGATAAACACAATTGTTGGTTTTATAGTCATACTCTTTTTATTATATATGGTTCTTATGATAGTTTGAGAGTTTTGTTTCAAACCATCCAGCTTTTGTGCATGGTAGTGAAACTATTTATTTATTTACAGTTGGGATCACGTTATACAAACTGTTTCATAAAATATGTTTTGGCATTTTCAGGCTCGTCTAGTAAAAGAGCTCTCGAAGATAGTGTTTTGCAATCTGCTCAACAGATTGGTCAGTTGATTACTATGGACAGCCGTGAAGCCCAGAGAATGGTTGAAAGTCAGATGGAACCCCAGTTGGCTAATCCTGTGGACACCCCTTATGCTCCAGTTAATCTTGAATCTCTTCCATCAATCGATGAACTCCAGAAAATCATGAAAGCACCTTCATTTGAGATGCTGGTAAATGGCCAGTGGATTTCTACGGACACCAATCAAATCAAGAGAATGGTTGAAAATCAGTTGAAATGGCAGTTGGATAATCAAGTGAACACCCCTGATGCTCTTCCATCAACGCCTAAGTTATCAACGAAGACAAAAAAGAAGAAAGGTCACAGAGAACTGAAGGACAAAAATGTATAAATCTTGTTGGTTCTATTTATTTTACCAAAGTGGTAGTTGCTATACATAAAGGTAGTTTAATGCTTTTGATTGTATTTGCAGGCTACTGGTATTAGGAAACGGCATGTTCTAAAGGAGCAGGATGGAGAACTAGTGTAAGTTTTCGTTTTTACTTGTTTAACCCTTTATTTTAAAATCATAGTTTTTGGAGCCCTCTCTGTCTAGGTTCAATGCTGATTCTTATTGGATTGTTCTTCACAATATATAAGTTGGGCTCTTTTAAGCTGAAAACCAACTTTTGTGATCCTTCATAGTCCGAAGTGAACCCCTCCTTCAGCTGCTTGTTAATGTTTAATGCTTCAACAATCCCTCCCTGCAATAAAGTAATAAGAAATAGATCTTTTTCGACAAATTGCCGCTATAGAACTCAAACCATTAACCTCCTCTTTAAGGGAAGAGAGGTTATACTTTTGGGCTAATGCCTCATTGGTTGGGAGACAGATGTTGAAAATAAAAAAAGATGCTGTTAATTTGCTTGTATGTGCTTAGTAGAACATCCCATGGGGTGAGGACACACCTTTAGGCAAGATGAGAAGCAAAGTATCTCCTCACCAGGACACCCTCCAATGGTATATTGGTATTCACACACACATATATATATCCTTTATGTAAATTGTTCATTCATGCATGCCCTGAATATAAAGTTATCTATGTATGAATGGAGTTGAGACTCTTATGGGTAGAAAAATCACATATTTACTCTTGATGTAAATTGTTCATTCATTCCGCCTTGTCGAGTTAATATTATTTTGACTTTTGTCTTCCTCCAGTCACTTCCCTGTTACCTGTGATGGTGATCATCCAAATGCTGACAGTGATATTTCTGCAAATGCCGATATATTGAAACAATCGGAGGAACTTGGGCATAGAACTGAGCTTGAAGCACATGAAGGAAAGGTTGATGAAAATTTAGGGTATCAAAGAGGAATTGAAATTGAGGCTAAACAAAAGCAGCTTGCCAAGCAGGATGAGAATACAGGTTGAGTTCTAGATTAGACCTTATTAAAGGCCTGGATGTTGCATATATATATATATATCCACCCTGTACATGCTTTTGAGATTTTTCTGTGGATTTACTATCACTTTAAGTTTCAGGAATTTTAATTCTTTGGTCTTGTTGTCACTTTAAAATCATCGTTAGCCCAATTGTATAACCTGCATCTGAAATTTTATTTCACTTTCAAGATGTTGAAAGTCATAAAATGAGTCATTGGTTGAAAGAGAGATTTGGTGTTCAATTGGGATGTTTGATACATATTTTAAATCATGTAAATTTTGTTTTGATAGATATGTTAAATATGATGGCCTGACCCTTAGGTTTGATTACTATTTCAGACACACCCCAAACTCATGAAGAATGTAGAGAGAGAATGAAGAAATGTAATGAAAAGCTGGTGAAGTTAGAAGGTAAGAAAACGAAGAAGGAACAAGTGAGGGATATGATCAATTCTTTGGTGGCTTGGGAAAAGGAGCTGGATGAGGAGATTGAATCACTGGAGTCCGACCTTGCAAAATAGAAAGGCTTCTCTTGCTCTGTTCATTAAAGGCCTGGATGTTGCAGGTGCATTGGTAGTTGATACTCTTTGCACTGTAGAGTCATTTCTCGTCCTAATGCTCATCTTTTCATTTCTTGTCCTAATGCTCATCTTTTCATTCTAAAATTCCTATTATATATTTTACCAATATTATCTTTAAGACTTGGCATCAATTTAATTTCACTGTTCTTGTTATCCCAATTCAATTATATTTGCTTTTGTTATTTCCCCATCCCTATATGAATCATGTCATTTTTTTGTTAAATTCAAAAAAGTCATAGAAACAGAGAAAGAGCAGAAAACGATTTCTTTCCCGCCAAATGCTCCCATATTGGAATTTACTAATTAGCCTTAACCAAGACAACGGCCTACCAACTGTTAATTTATGCCACCTAAAATTTCAGAATGCTCTCCAACGAAAGGCCTATCAAGCCACTGTCGTCATTGTCATTGACATCACACACGGCCTTCACCATAACAACTATTGCATCAACAAGCTCTCTCTGATGGTCTGAATGTGAAGAATGGGGTGATGCTCTGAAGGTGTTTGATGAATTTTCCAACGTAGATGTTGTTCAGTGTAGTGTTGGGTAACTTCGTTTTGGTTTGGCTGCTGAGGCTTTTGAATGTTTTTGGCGATATGCTGTTGTATTACTTGTGTTTTTCGGGACAACATTTGTTGGTATGTATGCCAAGTGTCGGTGCATTGACATGGCCATGGAGCTCTGATATGCCAAAAAGGAATGCATAACCGCAATAATTGAGGTATGCAAGATGAGGAATTCATTGTTTCAAGAACATTTTTTATTGGGATCAGTTTTTTGGCCAATAAATGTGATGTCGGACTTTTTAGAGTACCCCAAAATACACTACTGCTCACATGTAATCCGGCATCACTAATGCACCAGGCAATTACTGAGAAAATTCTCCGGGATGGCCTCGAAGGGATTATGTAAATAGGGACTTGTAGTTAAAGCAAGTGATGGATGGACATTCGCGGCGAACATCACCCACGAGAAGTCGCATGGAGCATTTACCAACAAGGCTTAACGGACTGCATCTACCCGCGAGTTGTCGCGGGCCACAAATACCCGCGTTAGCAAAAGTGCTTTGTTTTTTTACTCAAGGGTGAGAACTGGGAGAGGGTATATCTGGTATTTTCAAACCACCTGAGCAGAAGTACAAACACTGTAGCAAAACTAGTGGTCAGGGAAATCACAGGCTTCATAGCTTTACAACGGTTGGATTACCGGAAATGTCTATTGGAGCCTGAATTTTTAGCCACCATTTTGGAAGTCAAATCACTAATCCCTTGCTTAAAACTAATGTTGCTCTGGCAGCACCGAATGATTTGAATTTTTGATAGGAGGAAATTTAGTTCAAAATTTTAATTAGTTTTTTTTTTGTTTCAAATTCAAGCCGTCAATTCGGACATAGCATGAGAGTATTCTCATGAGTGCACAATGTTGAAGATTGAGAAACTCTTGTTTTCATTTAATTTGAAATGGGCTTGGCTCTTAATTTGCCCATGTTTTTGTTCAAGCCTTAATTAAAACATTCATTATTGCGAAACCGCTCCTTATAACTGAAACAACGGGAGCCACAACCGATTAAATATGAGATTAAACACAAAAAACAATCAAAAACAAAAACAAAAAAAAACAAAATGGTCTTTTTCGTGGAAATTGATAAACATTTTGACTCTTTCACATTTTTCTCTCTCTCTGTTACAAAAAAGAAAAATCAATAACAATCTATTAACAGAAAAGGCAAAACCTCTCCAATATAATCTCCGGCCAGAAAGTGAAAAAAGAATGATGCAAGGGTTTTAAGAGACAAATCTTCAGATTTGCAGTGCAACTCTATATATTCACAAAAAACCTATTCTAGAGCTTCAAAGAAAAGAAAATGAGGTTGCAAGTGCCCTCTTTCATATGTTGAAAGAACATCATTCCCAGAGACAATAACCTATTCAAATCAAATATAAATTACACATGAAAAGAAAGAAAAAAAATAAATAAATAACTAAAATATTGTTTAGGACCTGAATGTACCTTCACAGTTTCGTAATCTAGCATAATCCATCTTTCTAACTTTAGACTGTAAGCAAAGCAGTAATAATGTTGGCATGCTCATAGTAGCTAACTTAGAAATCAGACAGATATATACTGCAGTTTTCTGTTAGCAAAAGTGTAGGTAAATCACTGAAAAAACGAAAAATGAAGGTTTTAAACTAACAAAAACACCAAAGATTTAAAATTCATGAGACTAAAAGTGATGGTAAATCACTGAAAAATCTCGTTATATAGAAGTTGATGAAAAAAAAAAAAAAAAAAAAAAAAAAAAACAGAGAAAGTTCCCATAGAAAACAAGGGTCTATTCAATAGCTAGAATAGAATGAGATCTATGCACTAGGCAGGTTCAAAGAGTATTATACTTCATGCTACCTCTCTAGCAAAACCCACAAACCTGCAACATCCAGGCATTTTTATGAGATCTAAGCTAAAAACAGAGCATGGAGGATAGCTCTCTTTAAGTCTCTTTGCTCAGTATGTACTCATGAGATCCGATCCATCATTTTTTCAATCTTTTTTATCCTTTGCTCCATTTTCTTGTTCATCTCTTTCTTCTTCTTGTGAAGCTCTTCTTTAATCTCTTCAGCAATATCTTTCTCTTCATCCATCATTTTTTCAATCTTTTTAATCCGTCGTTCCATTTTCTTGTTCATCTCTTTCTTCTTCTTGTGAAGCTCTTCCATCATCTTCTCGAGCTCTTCATTAATCTCTTCAGCCATTTCTTTCTCTTCATCCATCAGATTTTGCAGCTCCCTTTGCAGTTCTTTTAAGGCTTCTGGTGTATCTGAAAATAGAGGTCTGGTCCATCAGCACCAATACTTGTTTCATTTGACATCACTTGTTTCATTTAACATCACATCACTTTGTGTAAAAAAACATAAGCAAAACACTGTCTGGCTGCTTACTTTTCACATTAATCTGTCGATCAGATTGTAAGACAACTTCAAGGCTTCCTTGACTATGCGAAACTGCAAATGCCCCAAAACATACTTCAGGAAACAGTTTGTATAATGTGATCGAAACCGTAAAGAAAAAGTAGTTAGTATTAAGGCTATTTCAAACTGTCTTTTACACTCAAGATTTTCTTCAAGCTTTCTTTCCTGCGCTTCAAGGTCAGAAGGGAAGTCCCTGGTAGAAGAGAAAAATCAAATTAATACTAACTCAACACGCTGACTGAATGAAACACATAAGCAATGAGGTTTACAAACACCCTCACCACCACTTTTTAGTCTCTTCCTAAATGGTGCTATAAACTTGTGTGTGTGTCTGTATGATTCCGTGTGTATAAATTTTCTTATACACATAAATTTGCAGAATATTTCAAGTCTCAAAAAAAATTGAAGTCATGAAGCAAGTGACAATTAATACAATAACAGTTGTACTACTGCGAAGGATCACAAAAGCAGTTTTTCAGCTTAAAATAGCCCAACATATATGGTGTGAGGAACAATCCAATGAAAATAAGCATTGAACCAAGAGGATGCTCCAAAAAATTGTGATTTTGAAATCAAGGAGCATTGTGAACTATAATTAAAACCAAGTAAAAATGAGAACTTACACTTGATGTCCATCAACTGCCCCTTTCTGAGAATACAATTCATGTTTCTGACGTTCAGCCATCCTCTTGATTTGACTGGTGTTCGCAGGAACCCATTGCCCATTTACATGCATTTCAAACGAAGGCGCTTCCATGATCCTATCGAGTAGATTGGCAAATGAAAGAGATTCAAAATTCAACGACGCATCACCTGTTGGGAAACGTGCTAGTTTTAAAAACTTTTCGAGGGATTTAAATTCATAGATCTTGATTCATCACATAGAGACAAGTTTTATGCAAAAAATAAAATAAAATATGATGTATTATTCAACTAAAAGATTGAATATTTACATCAAGGTTTGAGTAAACCTCAGATCTCTCCTCTAAAGTGAATGTTCTCACTTATTGTAGATCCCTTTTGCTAGACATCTTTTCTATGGATCTCCATCTTCTTGGTAATGGTCTTGCCTTTAGGAATCACTCATAAGCCTCCTTGAATGACCTTGGAAAACTAGGCTTGTGGGAGCTTCCATTAGATGAGAACATAAACCCTAATTTTCTAGAGAGAGAAAATTTATTCCTTTTTCCTTCTCATAAAAATCATCACCTAAAATATACATAGACCATGTATATTTATAGGCAACATAAAAATAAAGAAAAGGAAACAACAAATCCTTCTCCATCTCTAATTCATATGTCTCAAATCTAATATGATTCCAATATCAAGTTGGGCTATGAGTGAGAATCCATTGGGCCTATTATTTTATTGGCTACAATGAATTAATAATTGGCCCGGTCCATGGACCCAATTCAATTAATTCATAAATTAATTTCTACTCCACTAAAAGAAATTAATTGAACTCCAATTAAATAATAAATAACCTCTAAGTCAATATTGCACTTTGACCCCTCTATACATAATTAGTTATCGGATAAATATAGCCATCAATCCGACTACTTAATTAATATATTTATTTTGGTACCTTTGATTATTTCTGGCTCGATCACAATAAAACATTTGTTTGACAAAAATAATAATTTAAATAAATATATATATAATAAATCATTTTGTCTAAAAACACACGAAGGCCTTCGAATTTACTTTGTGATCAACCATAATCAATACAAAATAAATACAAGTAGCAATGATGCAAATATTGAAAATATAACCCTCTAACTATTAATTACATAACTACCCAAAGTGTCGGTCTAAGGATCCCGAAGAATCCGCCGAACAAATCAAAGTAATTATTAATTAATAAAAGAGTCTATACTTTTCTCATGCTTAAGAGTCAAATGTCATGACGGTGATAGGGAGTAATTGCATACGACGGCTCTCGCAATATATCTCAACCTAACGCGGATCCAGTTCAAGTCTTAATTAATTATGAGTCCATCCATAATTACCGACTATGAACAATTTATAATTACTATTTATATATCATGCATTGATTGTCATCACATACATATATATAAATATTTCTTGTAATTAACTGGACACTATCAATTTCATAGTGAATTGAAACATAATACATTGAATTCACCAATTATATAAATCATAAATATTTCAGATATGTCAGGAACATATGTCAATACAATCCAGATAGGAATTTGTTATGCCAGGGCATA